CAAATAAGTAGGTGATTAGTGAATGAATAAATAGGTGGCTGCCAGTGTGACGCTCTTCTCCTTTCTTGTGTCTGCTGCTCCCTGTCAGCACTGCGGCTGCTGTGTCTTGCTGTGTTGCTTGCTTTCCAACTATGCAGAGTTTTCCTTGTTACTTGTTACTGATTTCTGTGTAGATTCCATTTTGGTTGGAAACATACTTTGTTTGATTTAAGTTCTTTTACATTTGTTGAAGTTTGTTTTATGATCTGGGGACATAATCCGTTTTGTATTACATTCCAGAGTCACTTGAAAAGAACGTGTGTTGTGCAGCTATTTAGCATATTCTGTCACTGTTAGTTCAGTCTGGTCACAGTTGGTGTGGCATCGCTGCGTTCTCATATATCCTTACCAGCTATTTGTCATTCTGCTAGTGTGTGGATGGGCTTTCTAGCTCCAGCTTTCCCTTTATCTCCTCCTCCTCCGTGCTTTCATTAGTTCCTTCCTCATGTGCCTTATGGCCCTGTTTGCTGTGTACATACTTAGAATTATGTTTTCATAGTGGGTTGTCCTTCTGTGTATCTAATAACTTTCTCTGTAATAACATTTACCTTACCTGACATTAATAAAGCCATTGCTTTTTAGAAATATGTTCTTTGGCTCTTCTGTGACTTTGGCTTTGTAATTGTTTGGACCTTTGAGATTGTCATACTTCTGTCACCATACTTTTGTGCTCATGGTTACTGAATTTTAGGAAAGAGATAAATTACCCATATCACTATTTCTAGTACCTTCTAGGTACTAGAATATTTTAGGCATGTACATATGTTAGTTCTTTATAAATTTGATATCTTCCTACAAACTGTGATTTTCCCCAGTCTTTTCCCTTGGAACTTTAGTTAATTCATAAACATGTTCTGATATTACAAATAGCATCTGATGTTGTATCATTCACTTGCCTGTGACACCTTTCTGTTAGAGCACTTCAGAGATAGGTGTGGTGCTGGCCTTGATATGCTCCATGAGGGGCTGGTTACAGGGTTGGAGGTTTCACAACTGGAGAGGAGCTTCATATGATTTCAAACAGGTCTGTAGGACTCAGAGAGGGGATGAAGTACAAAGTTATATACTTACCCTCTCAGCAGTGGGCAGATCTCAGGAAAGGGTTTAAAGGAAAGCATGCTTCTGATGAGTAGTGTTAGCTAGGCACACCACAGGTGAAAGACAAAGGTGATGCCTGTGAATGTTTCTGGGCAGAAGGCACTGAGCAGCTTGGGACTCGTTAAGTGGCTGTTGAGTTCTTTGTCAGTAAGCCTTTCTGGTTATATTTCAGGAAACTGGAGCGCCCATCCTGACAGACGATGTCAGCCTGCAGGTGTTCATGGATCACTTGAAGAAGCTGGCTGTGACCAGTGCCTCTTAAGCTGGTAGCACAGCCTGGAAGTGGAAGACCATGCTGTCAGATTGTGCTCACATTGTTGATAACGTCCTAGCAACATTCACCTTTCTGGGAGATTCTAATAAATAACCCAAGGAATTTTTTATATGTATGTCTTCAGGTTATAATTTATTTGTATTTCTCTCTGCCTGTTTTCCTATACATGAAGTTATATGTCATACATGTTCTGCTGATTGTAGATGTTTGCTTACTTTTGTACCTTGATGTCTTAGAGTCTATAAAGTCAGAGTTTCTGTACTTTTGGCTGCTTGTTGAAGTCTTAAAGATCATAAAGGAAATAAATCTGGGTGAGGATGGTACTGGCCAAAATATTACTAGTGCAGATTTTGTCTCTTTTGTGTGTGCACGTGTGCTTGCATGTGTGTGTGTCTGTATGTCCGTGTGTGTGTGTGTGCATGCGTGTGTGCATGCGTGTGTGCTTGTGTGCCTGTGTGTGTGTTATGAGTGAGATATGGAGGGAGAAAGAGAGAGCATGCACACATTCATGCTCATGGCGGTCAGGGACAGCATGCTGACGGTGGTTCTCTCCTTCTATGTTGTGGGTCCCAGGAATAAAACTCAGACCATCAAGACTTGGCATGTGACTCTATCTACTGAGCAGTCTCACCAGCCCCAAAGGGAAGAAAAGGAGTCCTTAGTTAAGCCTGAAAGAGAATTGTGAATTGGATGTCTGAACTTATGATAGTTGTCCACCTTCAGAGTTCATATTTGTTCTGTAGAAACATTTACTATGCAACAGTTACATGTTAGGTGTCAAGAATTTATAGAATATTTCCCTTTTCTGGAGGATTTTTTTATGTAATTTACAGTTGGGAGACACATCTTATAGAGGAGTACATGAAACTGTAAATAGATCGGAGCTAAAATTTCCTCATTGAACCTATTATCTGTTACAAATTAACAGAAGAAAGCATATGGTGTTCTCTCTTGTCTTGTCCAGGCATTCTCTCAGTAAAATGAGGTGAGAGCGCCTCCAAGTGGTACAGCAGACAGTGGCCATACAGTCCCACTTCTGGGTTCCTGTGGGGGTGCAGAGTTAAATACTTGCTAAGTGGGTACCCTTGAGTCCAGTGTACCTCAGGAAGACTCTGAACTCTGAAATCAAGGCATGTCTCTTCACTTACCTCAGGCAGGGGTTTAAACTGTCAGTTCTGGAGGGAAAAACTAGGACTTGAGTGGTGGGAAGGATGGGAGAGAAAAGTTGAGCAGGGTGTTCAGAGGTGGTATGGAAATGACAGGTGAGGATGGGTCAGTATTTCTGGGGGAGAGGGCTAGTTTTGCAATCATTGCCTTAATTAGGGAACAGGAAGAGAAAGTTTGTTTCTTGAGTGTAGCATTCATAAGTTCAATACTGTACGTTTTAGGGAACTTGGGTGATGCAGACACTAAAAGTACTGAGCAGGCCGACTCGACAGTCTGGATTTGTATACAACAGAGACTCTAGAGAGACTAACAAGTTGTTAAAGGTAACGAACAGTTGATGAGAGTAGGAAGAGAGGCAAGTGTGAAATAATACAATTATTCTGCTCCTTACAGCTTCATTGAGATAGATTTTACATACATTATCTTCACCCAGTTAAGGATATAATTCAATCAGTTTTGCTAGGTGAAACCTGTGTGTTGGCTGTAGACTACTGACTACTTTTTTCCATATATATATATATATATATATAAAATATATTTATTTATAAATATATTTTTAGTTTATTTTTAGGGTTTTTATCTTGTTTGTTTTTCATTCAGCCTAATCCATCTGAGATTCTTACATATTGTCAAGTGGTATGCTACTTATTAATCTAATTTTTACTCAAATATTTGAATAGTTTGTCCTTTTGTTACTGTGAATAAAATGTATCTGAACACTGTACATAGGTCTCCTGGATGCAGCTTTTCCTTTTTCTTGAGGAAGTAACTAGGAGTGGAGTAGAATGGAATAGATTGTAAGATTGTTCTATGTTCAACCTTAGGGGCTGGAGGAAGAGCTTAGAGGTCAAGAGTGCTTGTTATTCCTCTAAAACTTTGGGTTCAGATCCCAGTACCCATGTCAGAATACTCACAGCCACCTGTAAGTCCAGCTCCATGGGATCTGATGCCTTTTTCTAGTCTCCACATACACCCACATATATGTGGCATACAGTCTCACACACCTATACACATAAAAAGAAAAATCTTGAAAAAAAAAAAACCCTGTCAGCTTTTAAAGAGGATAGATCGTCTGATCTCATCAGTAAGGCTTCCAGCCTCTCAGCTGGGCTGTGGAGACGGCTTAGTAGGTAAAGAGCTTGATGTACAATTAGGAGGACCTGAGCTCTGATCCTCAGCACCCATATGAAAACCAGGCACAGAGGTGAGCGCCTGTAATCCCAGTACTTGGGAGTGGAGACACAGGATCCCTGGGGCTTGCTCGCTGGTCAGCCAGTCTAGCTGAGTCAGTGAGATACAGGTGAGAGATCCTGTCACAAAATTAGGTGGAATGTGAGTAAGGAAGACACCTGATGTCAACCTCTGACTTCAAAAATTTTCATTTTCCTTAACTGTGACTCTAAGGTTCAGTTAATCAGCTTTCACTATATGGTTCATGTTTCTTGTATCCTAAGAAATCTTTGCCCTTGCCTTTAATCCCAGCACTGGGAGGCAGAGGCAGGCGGATTTCTGAGTTCAAGAGTTCGAGGCTAGCCTGGTCTACAGAGTGAGTTCCAGGACAGCTCGGGCTACACAGAGAAACCCTGTCTTGAAAAAAAAAAAAAAAAAAGAAAAAAGAAAAAGAAATCTTTGCCCATTCCGGATGGCAAAGATTTTTAAGTGTGTGTGTGGTTGCTTTTAGGTTTATAATTTTTGCATTTATATTTAAACACATAGTCCCTTTTGAGTTAAATGTTATACAGGTATATATTTCTATAGGGTAAACATGGATAACAGAAAATGTTTTGAAGCCACTAGAGAAGTATGCAGGGTCAGTAGTGTCAGCTGCTTTAGAAGTCAAGTTTGAGGAGCTTGAGATAGTCAAAGTAGGTTAGCCAGCCCGCTCCTGAAAAACACCTCAGGCTTGCTCTCAGATTGTTTAGTTTACTGGTGTGTAGACAAATTATTCTTCGAAGAAGTGTATGAATAAGACAAGCAGTCGATGGAATCTAAGGCTTTTAGTTTTTTAAAGATGCGTGCACCTTTGTGTGAGGGAGAATAAAAGCCAATGGAGTGATAAGCCGGAATGGTGAGCTACAGGATATAATTGGGAGAGGACCAAGGAAGCCTCAAAGAATTGGACCTAGAGTTCCAGATAGGTATACAGGAAAGAGGCAAGTTGTAAACACCATTTCAAATACTGTTTGACATTTGGAGGGCAGGCATTACAACTTTGCAAGTGAGGAAGTTTCAATCACTTCCGGGTGCTGCTTTCCATCACATAGTACACAGTGCAGTTGCCAGCTGCTTGCTGAGCGGCTAACCTGTGGTCTCCTTAACTAAAATCTCTGGTCTAGCTAGGATTAACCGTGGACTACGAGTCCCAAAATGCATCGCGGCCCGAGCAGGAAGTGGTTTAGGACCTATTGGTGGCGGCTACGGACACCTGGAAAGACTTCCTCCTCGCGAACCCTGGGGCTCTCCTATGGAGCCATGCCTGTTAAGAATGCTACGGCCTGGTACCGGCGGATGTCTATTCTCTACGCAGTCGGCGCCTGGTCGGTGCTGGGCTCGGTGTTTTTCATTACACGGAAACAGAAGCGATCAGGTAGGGTTCTCCGGCAAGATCGGCCTTGTAGCCACAGCTTCCCACCCGTTGCTCCGGTCACCGAAGCGACCTTCTGTACTTGAACCCCGGGGTACTAAACAAAACTGCTACAAGCGGGTACTTAGATAATTTGTGGTGATGGAATCTGCAAAGATTCCAGGATCTGATAAGTATTATCATCTGGACCTTACTTATTGATAAAGACTATCCCCGTGTGAATTCACCTATGTAGTGCTAGGTGGATTCCAGAGGCTGGGACAGTAGCCCGGGTGCTGCTCATTTCCTTGAGACTCTGTCGCATGCGGAGAGGAAGCAGTTTCAGGCCTTAACAGCAACCAAGGAGTATTGAAACCATCCCAGTTGTTGTGTGAAACTCCCTGATCCTTCAAATAACTTGGTGGAAATCCAAGAAACCGGAAAGTCAGTTGGTGTAATCGCTTGAGACCGGAGTGATAGAGAGGATGGAAGGTAACTCTGAGTGGCTAAAAGTCCTCTAAAATCGGATGCGGTGCTGGTTGCCCAAGCCAAATAGACTAAAAACCACTGAATTGTGCCTTGTAATAGGAGTCTGAATGGTATGTTAGGTGTATCTCAATAAAGCCATTGTGTAACAACTGCTGGAAATTCTTGGTCATGAAGGTGGTTTGTGGTTCACACAGTTATCATGGTTGCCCTTTTTGTCTCTGCCTTTTCTTTTTGGAGAAAGATAACGACAATAGACATCTGATGGCATAATCATACTTTGGTTTATTATGTCCAAGGCTTTAATGACTGATGTCTAAGTTAATAATTTCAGGTTCTTTTCTTTTTCTTTAAGGCTGTGAAGATCAAGATGGCTCAAGGAATGAAACACCTCTTTCTACAAGTGAAGATTCTGATTTAGCAACAGAAAGGACCGAGCCTGCTAAAGGGTTTTATATGGAAACAGTTATAAAGTATTCAGAAAGTCCTGTTCCAGTCACTCAAATGATCCTGACCTATCTGAAGTCATGGACTGGTGGACCTGGCCCACAAGGATGAACAGCTGCTGAATTCTGGAAACAAGGACTTGGCTCAGTATTTGGAGAGATGCCTTGATTTCCGTTTCATGTTTGTGGAGAGAATGTATTTAATTTAGTTTTATAAACTATAAGCATTAATAATGTGCAACAAATGTTTTCTTGAAGGTACTGAACACACAATTCAAGAGGTAAAATTCTCTTATGTTTCCATGGCTGAAAGGTTGATCTAAAGCCATTAAATTTTAAAAAATATGTGTGTGAGCACAGGCATGTATGCGTGTTGTACGTGTGTGTGTAGGTCAGAGGACAGTTTGTAGGAGTTGGTTGTCTCCTTCCACTGTGTGGATCAAACTCAAGTCATCAGGCACCTGCTGAATCCTCTCACTGCCTCTGAAATTTCAGTTTTTAAAAATCTACTTATGGGGCTGGAGAAATAGCTCAGCAGTTCAGAGTACTTGCTGCTCTTCCAGAGGACCAGAGTTCAGCACCCTCATCCAGCACATTCACAGACTCTAGTTCCAGGGGTTCTGATGCCATTGGCCCTAGTGGGCACCTGCACTCAAGTGCACGTTTCTGCTTGAAGATGTACACACCTGAATATAATTTAAAACAATAAAAACAAATCTTAAAAATATTACTGTGGGCACACGTTTGTACCTGAGGGTAGGCACATGCCACGCTTGGGTATTGAGGTCAGGACAACTTTAAATGTTAGTCCTGGTCTTAACCTTCCACCTTGTTTGAAAGAGGATCTCTCTTTGTTGCTGTCCTGTGTACTCCAGGCTAATTGTACTGCAAGCTTTCAGGAGATTCTCTTTGTCTCTGCTGTAGGAATGCTGGGATTAATACATGCCTCTGCATCAGACTTTTTATGTGGGATCCAAACTCATGTTGTCAAACATCAAACACAGTGACTTACTGAATGATCTCTCTGGCCCTGATAATGAAAATTACATTCAGCTTCTATAAATTAAATTTTTGGCAAATAGTTTATGTACCATTTTTCATGCTACTATTAGACAGTACTTATTTGTCCCACTAAGGTTAGATTGAGTACAGTCTCATGTGGCATTCAAAGCCAAAGCAGTCCACTACCTGACACCAGTAGGTACTGGATAACTTATGAATTAGAATATAACTTATAAGTTAGATAGACTTCACCTGTTCTTTGGGATTTCTGCCTGAACAAGTATGTATGTGCTCTCCATGATTGACTGGTGTCCAAAGAGGTCAGAAGAGGGTGTCAAATCCTCTGGAACTAGAATCACAGACAGCTGTGAGCTGCCCTGTGAGCGCTGGGAATTGAACCTCTGAACCATCTCTCTACCCTTGTGAAATGTTTTTGCTTGTTTGTTTTTTTGTTATGTTTTGTTTTTTGGTGCCTTTGAGATAGATTCTTCCCTATGTAGCCCTGGCTATCCTGGAACTCTATATGTATGTAGATCAGGCTGGCTTCAAATAGCTCTCCTTGCTTCTCTTCTAAGTGCTGGGATTAAAGGCATGTGCCACCACACCCGGACTCCTGGGTAGTGTTAGCTATTTGAGACCCTGCAAGGCATAGGGAGGATGGTAGGATAAGAGTCACAACTGTTGAGATATCCTTCCCAGGCCAAGAGCCAGTTGGTACTAATTGAATATATTTATAAGAACAGTGTGGTAGGCATTGAACTGAATGGGCAAGAATCAGCCTAAACAGGAAGGGGTGGGTGAGCTGAGGGCACCTTTGGTAGACTGCTTTCTTAGTGCAAACAAAGCACTGGTTAAGTCCTTAGCACTCAGGAAACCAACAGCAGGTACCTTACAAAACCTCTCCCATCTTTAGATGTTTCCAGAAAAAATAAGGAAGGGCGGGAGGTAAGGGAATGTGGCACCTAGCAGGACAGAGCGGATAGAGCATGATGGGCTGGAGAGATGACTCGATGCTGGAGAATGCTGGCTACTCTTCTAGAGGACCTGGGTTCAATTCCCAGCACCCACATGGGGGCTCACAACCATCTGTAACTTGAGTCCCAGGGGATTTGATTCCCTTTTCTGGTAGACAGTACTGGCAGCAAGCTAGATTTTTTTTTTTTTTTAATTTGGAAGACCCAAAATAATATTTGTAGATCAGTTATTCAGAGAAAGGTCTTTAATCTGATACAAATCATTTGTAATGAAACCACAATTATAAACCGTGCTTCCTGGATCAGTGGGCTCATACCAACTCTAAGGGAGTTATTGGGAGTTAGTTATTGTTATTCTAATAATAACTTTCTCCCTTTTCTTTTTTTCCTGGCCAGGATGTACCAAAGTTCATGCATAATACAGCCTTCTCAAATTTTATTTATTTTGTGTGCATGTCTGTGAACATGCATTTCCATGTGACATAGGGTGCATTTGGAGCTCAGAGGACATCTAGTGATGTCAGGGAAGGGCCTGGGGATAAAACTCAGGCCATTAAAGGCAGCGAGTGCCGTTTGTTTGTTTGTTTGTTTGTTTGTTTGTTTTTTTGAGACAGGGTTTCTCTGTGTAGTCCTGGCTGTCCTGGAACTCATTCTGTAGTTTTAAAGATGTATTTATTTTATGTATATGAATACACTGTAGCAGTCTTCAGACACACTAGAAGAGGACATGGGATCCCATTACAAATGGTTGTGAGCCACCATGTGGTTGCTGGAAATTGAACTCAGAACCTCTGGAAGAGCAGCCAGTGCTCTTAACTACTGAGCCATCTCTCCAGACCCCAGCAAGTACCTTTATCCATTGAGCCAGACTTTTCCCCTGGATGTGAAAAATTGACTACTTGATAGAATGTTCCTAATTTAGATTTTTTAAAAAAAACAATTAGATACAGAGTGTCTCATGCAATTCACCCTGCATTTCAATTGTATAGTTCCACCATTGAATTGATCCTCCTGCCTCTCTACCTCCTGAGTGCTGGGATTCCAGGTAAGCACTACCATCCCTGGTTTACATGATACTGAAGATTGAACCTAGGGCTTCCTGCATGGTAGGAAAGTACTATACCTACTGAACTTCACTTCTAGCTCCAGGTTAAGTTTTGTTGTTGCAGAATTACCACTGTGTCCTTCAATATCTGGAAACGTGTGAAGTCCATTAATCTTATTGCTGCTGCTGCTGGTGGTATCTTCGACAATTTAACTCATGCAATTTTGCAGTCACTATTTAATATTTAAACCTAATGTAACAGGCCCCCAGACCTTAGCACAACTGACTCCATGGTAGAAGTACCATTCAGGCCATAAAACTTAGCATGTAAATAGCATCACTTGCCAAAATGAAAAGGAAGACCCAGTCCATGAAATTCCATAGTTGTAGGAAAGTCCTTAAATGTACTAACCTTGCTTTTTGACTTCTGTAATTCTGCTGTTGCCTAACTGCTAGTTAACTGAAGTATATCAACCAAGGATTTTTTTTTTTTTTTTTTGTGCTTAAATGCTCACTCTGGCTGGGCAGTGGTGGCGCATGCCTTTAATCCCAGCACTTGGGAGGCAGAGGCAGGTGGATTTTTGAGTTTGAGGCCAGCCTGGTCTCCAGAGTGAGTTCCAGGATAGCCAGGGCTACACAGAGAAACCCTGTCTCCAAAAACAAAACAAAACAAACAAAACAAAACAAAACAAAACAAAACAAAAGAAAATGCTCACTCTGAAGAAGTCTGGGTTATAATGGAATCCTGAACACCCAGTGTAGTTGCCGGCTGGCTAATAAACACGTTGTACTGGCTTAAACACCTCTTTGAGTAGTCTGCTCTGGTGGATACCCCACAACACACATTTCTAGGCCTTTTGTTGTTGTTGTGTTTTTTTTTTTTTTAAGACACTGTTTTACTCTGTATCCCATGCTGGCCTTGAACTTCAGTGTGATCCTCACATTGCAGCTCCCAGAATGCTTGGATCACAGATGTGAGACCACCATTCCTTGGAGTATTCGGGCCAAATAACAACTCTGTCAAACTGCTTTCTATCTGATACTTTTCTGAATCTGCTAATCCTGGAAGAGGCTTTCAAAGCAAAGACATTCTGAAATGGGTGAACTTTTTCTGATATTCCCATTTCTTTTTAAAGGGAAAGTCTCATTACATTGCCCGAATTGGTGGTCTTGAACTCATGGACTTAAAACATTTTCCTGCTTCATCTCAAGTAGCTGGGACAGTCTCCCCCACCCCCTCCTTCCTTGTTGTTTTAATTATAAACACATGCACTACCGCTGGAATACGAAGATGTTATTAATTACTACTTTTTTATTTTTTATTTTTCGAGACAGGGTTTCTCTGTGTAGCCTTGGCTGTCCTGGAACTCACTCTGTAGACCAGGCTGGCCGCGAACTCAGAAATCTGCCTGCCTCTGCTTCCCAAGTGCCTGGTGAAGATGTTATTTTTTAGTGGTGAAAACTTGCTACAGTAGTAGCTATACAGTTCTTTGTAGCCTTCTAAGCATTCTTGCAGCCCATTCAAAGTTCTCAACAACCCTATAAAAGGCCTAAGTATTAGATTTGTATAAGGAAGGAATTAGAATCCTAGACTGATATACGTATTTACTATCGTGATATGTCTAAGGTAAATCAATAGTTATGTATTTCAGTGACTATTTTAGCAGCAAGTCCTTTTGTATTTAGCAACAGGCTTGCTGCTGATACTATAGAACAAGAGAAAATTTTGGAAAATCTGACTGGAGGATTGGAAAAGAGGGAGAAAAGCAGGAAAAAGACTAAGGGTAAAACTGAAAGAGAAAGAAACTGGAGCAGAAATTTATGTGTGTCTGGACATAGTGTAGTCTAGGCTGGCAGTTTCGGACTATACTGCTTAAGGAGGAGCTCGGGGTGGATAGGACAGGACCTACCACGGATGGGCTAGGTTATGAATAGGTGACAGGTGAGCGTGATTGACATGGGCGGGGCCAATTGGTGGATGGGTGTGGCCGACGTGGGCGGGACGCCGTTCTGTGGAATGGGTCCTCGAGGAGCATTTCCGGTGTTGCCGGTAGAGGGCGCCGGCCGAGGAGCCACTGGCGGAGTCGCAAGGTCTGACCACACGGCGAGTCCCAGTCGCTACAGCCGCCGCCATGAAGGCCGTGGTGCAGCGCGTCACCCGGGCTAGCGTCACAGGTCAGTCGGGCGGGCCCGGGAGGAGCAGCCTCTGACCCCCGTGACCCGCTGTTCCGTGTGAGGGTTCCCCGCAGCCCCGAGTTGCCGGGCAGCTCCGGGGCAGCGCCGTGGCCGTGAAGATCCGGCACGTGCCTGGCCGCTCACGGGTTCAGGCTCCGTGCTTTCGTTGCTACATAAAACCTCATCTCCGTCGTCATCACCATTATACTCATCATCATTATCTTTGTGTGTGTGTGTGTGTGTGTGTGTGTGTGTGTGTGTGTGTGTTCGTTCCCCACAGACAAGGTGCCCGAACCTGTGAGCATCCCCAGGGCCCGTTGTTGAATGCACTGTTGCACAAACAACACATAGGGAGCATTTCCGGAGCGGTCTCCCTCGTTTTCCACCGTTCTGTCTGAAATGTTGCATTTTAACACCTTCCTTTTGCATATCTTTTCTTTTTTAAATGGAACTCGGCTCCTGATAAAATGCACAGATGAGTGATTGCTAATTGTTTGAGTGCTGACAGCTGTGAGCAAATGCGTGCATCCA